CCAGAACTCACAGTCTGTCCTGCCACGGCCATGGAGGCCGTTCATGAACTCACTGTCTGTCCTGTCACGGACATGGAGGCCACTCTTGAACTCACTGTCTGTCCTGTCACGGCCAAGGAGGCCATCCATGAACTCTCAGTCTGCTCTGTTGTGGCCGTAGAGGCTGTTGTTAACCTCTCTATGTTCTGTGTTCCAGTCTCTCCTGATCCGCCATGGTGGCCTGTTCTGCCTGCCCCGCCATGGCTCCCTGCTCTGCCTGCTCTGCCTGCCCCGCCATGGCTCCCTGCTCTGCCTGCCCCGCCATGGCTCCCTGCTCTGCCTGCCCCGCCATGGCTCCCTGCTCTGCCTGCCCCGCCATGGCTCCCTGTTCTGCCTGCCCTGCCATGGCCGCCTGTTCTGCCTGCTCCGCCATGGCCCCCCGCTCTGCCTGCTCCGCCATGGCTCCTTGCTCTGCCTGTTCCGCTTCATGGGCCTGGCCCTCCATCCCTCCCCCAGTTCCGCCTCCACTCCACAACCCTCCTGGACTTGTTGGGTTTTGTTTGTGTTTGTTTGGGCGTCTGGAGCCGCCCTTAGAGGGGGGGATATGTAATGTGGGGTTTGGGTTTTATTTCATGTTCATGTTTTCCATGTCTTTTATTTTGTATTGTTTTATGCTGTTAGTGTCATGCTTCCCTTGCCCTCTTGTCTTCATGCTAACCTGTAAATAAACTGCACTTGGGTTCTTCACTACGCTCACCTTCGGTGGACTGACTCGTTACAGAGTGCTGGAAACTGTTGTGCTGCTTCATATTTTTTTGGAACCTGTGATACTTTTTTTCAGGATTCTTTGATGAATAAAAAGTTAAAAAGAAGAGCATTTATTTAAAATATAAATCTTTTCTAACAATATACACTACAGTTCAAAAGTTTGGGGTCAGTAAATTTTTATTCTTTCTTTTTTTGAAAGAAAAGAAAACTTTTATTCAGCAAGGATGTGTTAAATCGATAAGAAGTGATAGCAATGATTTATGTTGTTAGAAAAGATTTATACTTTGAATAAATGCTGTTCTTTTTAACTTTTTATTCATCAAAGAATCCTGAAAAAAGTATTGCAGTTTCCAAAAAAATATTTGGCAGCACAACTGTTGCCAACATTGATCATTCTAATAATAAATTAGCATATTAGAGTGATTTCTTAAGGATCATGTGACACTTTATACTGGAGTAATGGCTGATGGAAATTCAGCTCTGCATCACAGAAATAAATTAGATTTTAAAGGATATTCAAATAGAAACCATTATTTCATATTGTAATAACATTTTGCAAGATTAACACTCTCTCTCTCACTCTCTCTCTCTCTCTCTCTCTATATATATATATATATATATATACATACACACACACACACACACACACACAATGTCAGTATCTAACATACCTTTCCAATGATGCTTCCCACTTCCTGCAAAAAAACAAAAACAAAAAACCAATAAAGTCATTGCAAGCGTAAGCATTCACAATTGTATATGAACACATTTCCCCATGAATATTGCTATATTTTATATTCATTCCTTGTTTAGGGAGATTTAATGAGTCTAAAAGGTCACTGATACTGACAACCCCTGACTCACCTTGGCCTGAAACAGTGGGTCAGGAGAGGACAGATCCTTGAGGCACACAGCAGTGACATCACAAGCCCACCCCCATCCACTTCCCTCTGTACTGCTCTGCGGGCTCAACTTACCTTGCCGTGCATGAGAAGCCGGATGGTCAGGGTCACATTCAGCCCGCCCTCTGACTGGACTTTGTTGAGTTCCATACTAGGAGTGGAGGTGAAGCAGGAATATGGTCACGTGACAGGAAATCCCCAGGAGTAGGACAAGAATGATGGTACAGCAGCCAACCAGTCACCTGCAAGGGGGGGGGTGGGAAAATCACAGACAATGTCATGAAGAACCCATAGACTTCCAAATGAGAAACTAAGACGGTCGCAGTTGGCTCTGCTCAGGAACCAAAGCTCAGAATTAAAGGAATGTTCCTGGTTCAAAATTTAGCATTTGGGACATGATGTTGTTTGTCACAGAAGATAATTCTGACTTGTCCCAACTCATTTAAAATTAATACACTATTATTCAATGGTTTGTGGTCGTTATATGTTATTGAAAAGTCTCGTATGCTTACCAAGGCTTCATTTGATGAATAATACAGTAAAAACAATAATACTACAATTTAAAATGGCTGTTTTCTATTTTAATATATTTTAAAATGTCATTTATTCCTGTGATGGCAAAGCTGAATTTTCAGCATCATCACTCCAGTCTTCAGTGCCAAATAATCCTTGAGAAATCATTCTAATATGATGATTTTGTACTCAAGAAACATTTCTTATTATTATTAATGTTGAAAACAGTTGTGCTGCTTAGCATTTTCGCAGAAACTTTTAATACATTTTTTTTTTCAGGATTCTTTGATGAATTCAAAAGCACAGCATTTATTTGAAAGAGAAATCTTTCTGTAATGTAAATGTCTTCTTTACTGTCACTTTTGATCAATTCAATGCATTCTTGTAAATAAACGTATTAATTTCTTTAAAAAAAAATCTTACCAACCCCAAACTTTTGATGTAAAATAAATAAAATATGTAAATAAATAAAATTGGATGTAAGTAAATAAAATAAAACACTTTGCACACAGTGCACAAAGGAAGCACACAGTCCGTTCCAGACAGTTTATGTTAAACTTGTAGCTTTATTAAAGCACTTACATGAATTATTCAGTAAAATCCTGCTTTATTTGAGCTTTCCAAATCATCCTTTTAAAGTAGAACTACTTTAAGATGGATGTCTAATTCCTGTTAATTCCTGTAAAGATTGAATATAACCCACTAGTCTCATGCCAACATGTATTTTAAGTTTTTTGGCCATACATTTTATATACAGTGTATGTTTTATTGCCTGGTGAATTTTCATTGAAATTACCTTACTGTGAGCATGACTTTTTTTTTATGACTGACAGTTTTCTGTGATAATCAACATTATGCTGTTAGTATAGATTGTATTGAATATGTAACATTCCGTTAATACTACACCCCGACATATTTAATAGCCTTTTATATGCATAGTTTGAACACAAGAGGGAGCACTTTACAAGTAATCAAAGTCAGCATAATATCATATTCATTGCCAGGTAGTAATCTCAAATTAATTTAATAATCTAACAGCTGCTGAGATCATTCGGCTTGTTGCACAGCTGAGCCAAATATTTCATGGGCTATAATGCCAGCGTAAGAAGATACATGTCTTACAAAAGTGACATCCCAACCAATCTGATCTCAGTTAACTCTTAAAAGAAAATAAATAATAGGAAAAAAAATGCATTAGGAATCTAGATTTCACAGCATCAATGCTCTAATGCTCAAAAAGGTTCTCAACACAAACACACAATGACAATATTCCAGGTAGGTAAATATAGAATCTGCACAGAATTTACACAAATGGAATACCTGTCATTAATAAAATTCTGTACATTCAGGCCCAAATCAAGTCAAAGTGTTTTAGTTATGATAAAGAGAAATAAAACTTATTTCTTAAATCATTTCAGAATAATGAATTTAAAAATTAATTCATTAAAAAGATATATTTAAAATGTGATTAAATATAACGCATTAAAAAAACATTAACTTAAAACTTAATATTGAGGATAATTTGGTTGTGCTTTCAGCCAGAAGCATCAAGTCCATTCAATTCTGCATAAATCTGCAGATTTCTGTGGGTTTACCATAAACAAGGTCATATAAAACAACCTATTTTGCATTTTGTGTAAACATTCATAACATTCAGCTTATTCGAATCTGTATTTTCTGTCTCTCTGATCCCTCCGATGATTTCTCATGCTCAGCCGTTATAATGCGTATCTGTGTGTACTCTGGTGAGGGAGGGGGAATCCTAACTCCTCAGCTCAGCTTCAGACCTGTCCCTTTTTCAGTGATTTATGCCGTCATGTGGGTCAGGGGATCAACAACGATTGAGAGATTGAAACATTAATCTGTTCCAGTACAGCTGCCAGACCTTCGAATGAAGTGCAGGATAAAGAGAGAGCAATGATGGTGACTGGAAAAAGCATGGTGAAAGAGAAATAGCGTGCGCAATCAAGGATGAGATGTGCGGAGCAAAGTTTTAAGCACAATTTTGCATGTTACGTATGAGAAGAGAAGCATAGAGAAAGCAAAGGAAAGATAAGAAGAGATTCACATGGGTATACAAGATGAGCTACCAGCTGTCCGCAAATCTCCTGCTTAGCACTGATTGCATAAAAATTCTAATCTGAGCTAAAAGCATGCAGAAGCAACAAACCAAATGGACAGAAGTGAACCGGCCTGTACTCCTACAAATAGGTGCCCTCCGTTTTAAGAAGCCCCTGACCTGGGAAAAAGAAGTGCGCTTAACTGTATCGAGTGTACTTCAAATATTAAGTATAATTAACAAAAAAACTGTACTTGCAAATAATAAAATATTAAATCTAATAAAAAGCCACTGAAGTGTATTTAAAGAGGACACTTTCACAGGTTTCTTACACTTAAGTACACATGAAAAAGTGCACTTTGTCAAAATGTCAAATTAAAAGATTCACTTTAAAGTATATTTTAAATCATTTTTTTTAATAATCTTTTTAAAACACGATTTAAAAGAAGTACACTTATTCTGATGCACTGACTAACAAAGCACAAGTACTTAATTATAATTTTAACTGTAGTATGTTATTTGATATTACATGTAAATATATTTGAAATGTACTAAATTGCAACTTGTTTACGAATGTGTAAATACAAACACATTTAAACAGATGACATTCAAGTTTCAATAGAAATTACATTAAAGCAGTGATATTTTAGTATCATTGACACACAGTTTTTATTAATAATTAGTTTTTATTTTATATTTCAGCTAACATTTATTTCAGGTAACAGTAATGTTTTTATGCTTTTAGTTTTAGTTAACTATAATTAACCCTGCATTAAAATATTAACCATATTTAAAAAAAAACAAAAACAGAATTATTAAATTATATATAAAACATACTACTTAAGTGGTTTTAAAAAACACTCTTATGTTCAACTAATTGCATTTGATATAAAATTTTAACTATACTCCATTTTCATTTAATTGTAAATAACATGCAGTTAAGTTTCCAAAAACATTACATTCAGTTTGTATTTAAGTATACTCGTTTAAAGTATACTATTTCCATAATAAGAACTCTTTTTTTAAAAGTATGCTAAGGTGTACTTATTTTTCATAGGTGTGAAAATGGCTTAATGGCCTTATGGGTTTAATTGATTATTAATTAATTAGTTACATTTATATAGCGCTTTTCTGGGTACTCAAAGCGCTTAACATGAAGCGTTTAGAGAAATGCTACAAATTCACTCTAAGAATAATGTAAAAAAAAAAAAAGTAATTACAAAGATAATTGGGTTATATACAACACTTGATGTTTGATTATTTTTCTGTCATTGTAGAAATATCTTCTATCAGTGTGTAGAAACTCTTAAACACACTGCAATGTTCTGGAAGTGACAACCACATTTAAATGCTGGAGTAAATCCCTTAAATTGCAATCAGGAACACTGTGCAGTATAAATATGGTTGGAAGTACCTACAAGAAACAGGATTAAGAGAAGTGACAACTGTATTTATCTGCAGTGTGCGCATGGTCAAGGACAGCATACAATGTTCCACACTTCTCCTCACGACTCACTTAATGTAGTTCTGTCAGGACCACTATCGTCAGTATAACTTACGATTAGCATACATTTTAGGTTGGGGGAATGGTTCTGTTCTGGGCAAACACTCCCTGCCCATCCATGCAGCCTAGCATGGATAGGAGCAAGGAGAGCAGAATACCCCCCCTAGGGTAACAGAATAGAACCAACATCAATGATAAATGTAGCAGATACCATTAATGTTCTACGTGATTACTTTAACAACATGATTCAGTGGTCTGACTCAATGATATATTCACTGTCAACTCCTGACTGGACGAGAAGAGGAGCTGGGGATGGAGGTGGGGGATTAGTTCCTGAGCGAAGCGATAGCTGCTGAATAATGACTGAAGGGACCTTATGAAGGGAATTATGATTGGTGTCGTGATCCTATAGGTAGACGTGGATCAGCTGAGTGTCAGCTGATGCGAGCTTGACTAACATGGCCTGCCAGAACTATCGCTACGCTCCATTAGTTCTTCATCCACCTCAGATGACTTAAATATCAAATGCCTTCAAGTTCAACCCGCATGAAATCTTATCTAATTAAATCAGCCTGTTAGACAACAAACAACATGGATGCTGTGGGCGAGGCGCTAACACCTTGTGGCAACTTTACGAATAAACCAATTTTAGAGTGATGAAAGGCAATCTTATTGTTTATGTGATGCTAATGCTCCATATCCGGTGCTTCAATGAAAAACTGCATGAATAACATGAATATTATTATTTAGACGATCATGCTTAGTGAACCGTTAAGAATGCCTGAAGGATTACATTTTTAAAGTGCTGCTTTCTTTGTATATTTTGAGGTGACATAAAAGAGTGCTTCCTTAGGCACCTGCACATCATGGGTTGATTTAAATACACAAATATTATTTTTATCATATGAAGGTCACATTTAAAATGGTCTGGAAACTTTTTGACATGCCTTCATCATTCATTTTTTAATTTATTTTTCAAATGTCTTTTATGTCTACATTTTGTTTTTTTGTTTTTCTTTACCTAGATATATTAAATTATTAAATATTAAAAAAAATATTTTTAGCACAAACACCCCAAAAATGCAAAAAAAACTAACAGCATGCTTGATATTAAACATGAAACATTATTTGACTTTTTAAGAAAAATTAAATATAACCAGCACAAA